GGCAGGAATAAATATCTGTCAGAAATAATTTGTTGTCGACAGGCTTATTGCCTCCAAGGGATTCGAGTGCCCTTTTGGGGAGCCAGTATCTTATGTTATTGGCTAATATCCTGTATTTTGTTTGGGGCAGAGGGACTGAAAGCTTAAAAAAAAAAAATACTAGAGAGTTTGTCCCTGAATATTTAGCTGCTGAAGTATCTCCTTTGTAGAGTCCATTTGTGTATACATGGCCACTTGAGACTACGTAACCCAGAGATAAGTTCAAAGTGTGTCATTCTTCCCCCATGTAAATAAATGGGAACACATCTTTGTGCCTCAAATCAAAATCAGAGTTTTGATTGAGTTCAAAACAGAACTTGGACATTCACAGCAGTATCAGCTCAAGTTTTTCCTCCTGGCTCCGTGAATTGCACAGGCCGTGTTTATAAATTCAAGGAAACTTTTGATGAAGCTGTTAGTAGTTTAGAGTTAAATTGTGTGTGGTTTTTGAAACTTGGAGTTTTGAATAATATTCTTCACAGCTCCACTGATGAGGCATTTCATTAGCATTGGAGCCTACACTGGCTGGGAAAATAACCTTTTACCATAGGTTCCTTGCGTGCATTTCATCTCCTTTTGCCTTTTTTTTTTCCATCTGATGGAATGTATCCCTCTCCTCCCATCACTGTTGTTTTGCAAGAATTATTCTGTCATACAACATAGCATCTTTTACTTCTCCACAAAGGCTTACTAGGTCAAAAAGAGCCTGGTTTTTAGAGTTTTTTTTGAAAAACTATAATTACTGCGTAGAAAAATTACACAGAAAATCCTGTCTAATGCTATGTTTCTAAACCTCTTAAAACTGTTCTATCCCATGACCGTGAGTTTGCTGGTGACAAATGTTTTATGGGCATACTTTAGTAGACACCCGTCTAAAATCTGTTCTTAATAGTCAGATCCTAAATTGGAACCAGAGGGGCAGAAAAACCAGATTTGAAACGTGTTTCTAAGGGTTTGTTTTTACTTTCAGTTGAGACTGCCTTCTCTCATCTTTTGTACTGCTGTCAAAAGGGCCACTCTCATGGTTGTTCAAACTCCATGCTTCTTGACAGGAACAGTTGGACCCCTCTTCAATGATTTTCAGATGAAACAGCTTCCAAACCTCCAGAGCTTTAACTTGTAGTTATTAGGCCCTTTGAAATAGCAACACATTAATCAGCTGAAATCAACTGGTCCTTTCTCCAAGGCTGTGATATTGCTGTTCTCTTCTAGGTAGAACTCTAGTCCAAATACCAGTTTCAAGAGCTTTTTATTTCCTCTCTAGACACATCCATCCCATTTCTGTTTCTATTTTGACAATTGTTTTATAATGCTGTGAATTAAATCGCTCAGTTCCATAATAAGCTTTTATCCTCTCAAATTGTATTAAAAGTAGTAATGCAGAAAGCCAGCTTCCACTTGTTTGCCTTCTGTTGTAGGAACTGGCCACTGTCCTTTTAACTTGTCATGCACAGTACGAAGCCCAGCAGAGAAGGTATCAATGATAAAATGGATTGTCTGACAGAACTTGCCCTAACAATGATGTGAAACACTGGAAGAAGTATGGTTTGTTAAAAGTGGATCGTTTGAAGGACTTGAGTTTCCATCCCTGACTTCTGTGACACTGACCAAGTGATCTAAACTTGTTAATGACTTCCCTTACCAGTCTATGTGTTAGGCAAGACACAGATTAGAAATGAGAAGAGATTGTTCTGTGTAACATTTATATACATCAGCAGCTGCTGAACAATTCTG